CAATATTTTGTTTGTTTAATTTATTATTTGAGTTATCAAACCTCCAATTTAGTGCCTTTAAATGTAATAATGCACCTACTTAAATGCAGTAATGTTTTTCCAAAGACTGCAGAGTTATGAGTTTTCACCAGCCCACAGAATTTATATAAATAACCCAGTTCTGCTCTTGAGCATCAACAGTCATGCTGATAAACATTTAGAGGGGCTTTAAGAGTTATGCTGTTGGCTAAAAAGCAGGAACCTGACCCGTTTTTAGAAACCAGGAAACAGAAAATAATCCTGAAACATTACAAACCCATGTTTCACTTATCTGCCCTAAATCATGACTTTTTCAGGAAGCACATGGATCAGAAACCTATTAATGTCACAATTTAAAAGTGGCCTCGTCACTCATAGTTCTAATCATTTACTTCCTGTATAAGCAGCAATGAGCGGCTGAGTGTTGCACGTTCCCGCAGCAGAAAAGCGCTGAGCAGAGCTGAGTGAAGTTGGCTTCTCACCCACCAGTGGTTAGTGCATCGACATTAATATATGGACAATGGGTTTCCATAAGCTCCAACATCACGTTTTTGAGGCCAAATGGGAGGTGGCCACCACCGCCATTTTGACCATGTCACAGGTTCCGTCAAGCCCAGACAATTCCATAAAAGGGAAGAAAGGAGGAGCTGAGGGTGGGGCTGTAAGGCTGGGATCAACTGACGACACCCGGTCGAACTAGCTACAAGCTAACCTGAAGCTAACCCAAAGCTAACGCGGAGGTGGGAGCTAAGCTAACGGAGGTAGCAACCTAGCTACAACCGGAGTTAACTGTGCACAATACCAGAGCTTCTGAGTCAGAGATACGCCGGGCTGACCGCTGGGTAAAACCGGGTGGAACACAGAGGTCTCCGAGACCTGTGGAAAGGTTTCCATCCCAGAGCTCCACATCAGCCCGTGCAGCACACAGAAGCCGCGATCAGACAGATGCGCCGAGCTGCTGGGAGAACCAGCTGTCAGCTCGCCGCAGCAAACAGAAGCCGCGATCAGACAGAGATGAGCCGAGCTGCGGGGAGAAGTGGCGTATTTTGGCGGTTCTGGCTTGCCATAAGAAGCAGCCATCATCCCCCCGCAGCACACAGAAGCCGCGATCAGACAGATGCGCCGAGCTGCTGGGAGAACCAGCCGTCAGCCCGCGCAGCTAACAGGAGCCGCGATCAGACAGAGATGGACCGGGCTGCGGGGAGAAACAGCCGGCATTCCGGGTGGAAAACATCGGTCTCCCGAGAGCTCCACAAGCCGATAGTCGGAACCCAGCTCCACCAACATATTATATTTCAACCCATTTTCCAAAGTGCAGCATTATGTTAAATGCACTGGGTTTAACCCTATTACATTTAAATTTGATGGTTAAACAGTACATGTTAAAATCTAAGCTCAGCTCGGCAGTGACCTAAAATACATAAATATAATTTTACTTGCCGAAAAAAATGAAGTGGAGACTCCTTGGACGCTCTATTAGTGCAATTAATGCCACAGCAAGTCACTTTGTCCAACAATTGCACAAATAATATCCAAAAAAGAATACACAAACACAGAGACTCAAAATCCCAGAGCAGTTTCCAGGCCAGACCGAGGCTCTACTGAGGCCTTTCCACGGAGCTAGCTCTGTGGTCACGTGGGTCTGATGCTCATTAATTATATAGAATTTTAGACACTTAAACAGAAGAGTGAGAAAAAAATTTCACCCCCCTCAGAGCTGTCATGAGCGTAAACTAGATCATTTAAACAAAAACATGTTTTGGTACCAGGCTGTAAACATGTTTATTTCTGCTGTGAAATTGGTATTTTTAACATGGGAGTCAATGAGGATTTGCTCGCTTCTGACACCAGCCCCCAGCGGATGAGGGTGGAACTGCAATTTTTGGTACTTCCGGGTTTGACTCAATTTTAGAGCTCCATTGTGGGGGCTTGGGTTAGTGCTACGCTTGGGCTAGATTACTGATGTGGGTGGGGGACTAACTTCGCTCAGACGCTGAAGCTGGTCTGTTGAGCAGCAGCTGGGTCACACACCACAACAGCGTTGTTACGTCCAGCTTTTGTGAGACAGATGGAAGTGTGCATTTTGAGAATAATTTTCGTCTAGTCTAGTCATATTTCGTAAACAAAATCTCTCACACGTCTCGCCATGTTTTAGTCACCAAAGAGCTATTTTTAGCTCATCAGCATCTAGGGGGCATCAGTGAAATCTATTTTGTCATCTTTAATGAAAACAACACTGAACAGTACTAACAGTTTCTCCACCATGCAGCCCTGTGGCAGTCACAGATGTTTTAATAAAAAGCACACCTTACCGGAAGAAAATTATTTCAGATGTTTAATCCTATAATCAGTTTGGTGTCAAACATTCTAAGAGAATGAGAAAACTGCATTTTTATCAGACATTAATGTGAGTCAACTAAAAAATCAGGTAAAATCTTTAAACTCTCCCTAAAGTGCTGTTGCAAAAGCCATCAAACACCACGATGAAACCTGATCTCATGAGAACCGTTTTTCTCTACAACACAGAAAAAGTTTAATACACAGTTTCAACCCCAGAAGCAGAAAATCAGCTGCACATCAGATTTCTGTCTTCATATTTGACATTTTGAGCTGTGGCTGCACCAATTTTGGGAGAAACCAAAAACCCTGATGCCCGATGCCTGAAGTGATACGGGAGAAACTGCATGTGGGAGGTTTGCTGCTGTTACTGTTTCCAGTCTATGAAGAATAGAAGGCAGAGGTAACCAACATAACTATCAGAGCATTTTGCACCATCTTATCTGGTTTGAGACTGTTGTTTCAGCAGAAAAACAACCTTAATAATCTTTAGATTCTCTAAGGGCTTTTAAAGCTGTGGATGAGCCTCCACAACCGCCTGGTTCTAACCCACCTGAGGTAAGTAATTACCTAGATGAGCCCTGTTTGTTTCCACTGATTTAGGTCAGCAATTTGTCTTCATTCTCCTACACAGGTTGATCTATGGAGGAGGTAGACACACAGAGATGGCAACAGCAGGAACTATAACCTGAAATCAGCCCATTTTTCTCCGCAGTTGCCTTTCAAGGTGAAGATTCCCACATAAATAATGTATTAGTGGCTTCTCTCCACATGAACAACAGTTAGACGGTTAGGCAGACTGGAGAAATTATTTTTACTTTAGAATTAATTAACACTTCTAGACAACCAGAAAACTGTTACCTCCTGTGCTACCTTTCTTCAGCATTTGGTATATTTAGGGATAACAACTCCTCCTCTTTGTTGTGCACTCTGCTGGAAACCCAGTACATAACTTTGTGTTTGGTGCTAATAAAGAACTCGATCTAGGTCTGTTTATCTGACCTTCTAAAACTCAGTTTTAGGGTAAGGTGTAGATTCAAACAGCTGAAATATTTTAGTACGGTTCCGGCAGTTTGAACTTCAACAGTTTGAAGCCTCTGCACGGAGCTCCACACAGTAAATTTAAAATAGTTACTTTGGGGGTGTTGGTCCAATTTAAGCAAGCTTACATCAATGCTAAGCAAAGGTTAGCAAGTTCCAAACAGAAGACAGCGTTGAAGACATAATAGTGCCAAGCTTTGAATTTATAATAAAACGTTTGTAAAAAAAGAAAAAGGTTACTGCTGAGACTGGGAGCTGGACCTGTGTAAAACAGCATGTCAGACCAGCTCTGAACCACTGGACTATCAAGTCTGTTTACGTGCATCTTTGTAAATAAGACACATGGTTTTTAAGGCGTCGTTTTGTCTCCATTGCAGAAATAATTTGTAAGAATATCAACAAAATAACCAAGTTTCTGAACCGAGACCACCAGCTTCAGGGGGAGGAGAAATGCCTGATAACGCAGGAAAAATCTTTACATCAGCCAAATTGAAGCTGTGGCAGGAAAATGCATGAATGCAATCATGAGGGTTTGGGGGTATTTCTCATGAGGATATAACACAATCACATCGTAAAAAAATCCAAATTTTGAATTTTCCGTGATATGGCCCCCTTCAAATTTGAAAACGTTAACTTTTATCTGTTGTGCTTGGGTGAAATTATGAGTAAACTGTTGGAAAATCTATAAAATTATTAAAAGTTAATTAAACATTATAGTCATGTTTAAAAAAATTAAACTATTTTAAAAAACTTTGGCTTGGAAAGTGAGAGAAATATGGATTATTATTATTTTTAAAGCATGTTTTCTGCAGGGACCCATTTGAGTCCCAAAGAATTTCATTTAAGCTCAATTCATTTTTACCCAGGAGAGTTAGCAATACATTTCAAAAGATACCAAAGATTTTTAGGGAGTCTTTTAGCCATGTCAAGATTGTTCTTCTGTATTAGTGTAGACGCTCCAAACTTCTAGTAACATGCTGAGAGGATATCAAGGGACAGGAAAAAATCGTTAAATAAAAAAAAAAGGATCTTTTTTATTCACAATAGTGCAAATAGAGCCTAAAAGGGCAAAATATGTAATTTGAATTAAAAAAAATAATAAATAAATGAGCAATATAAATTTTAGCTTAAAATAAATTAACCAATTTTCCTTTTAACCCTCCCATATTGTTAATAGGGCCAGATGGACCCCAGGTGCTTTTTATTTATTTATTTTTTTTAGGAGAGCACCACTTCACCCTTGCCAAGTGATAAACTATCAGCCATGTTTAAGCACCCCCTGTCCTGGAGGAGTCACCTGATAGGACAGTGGAAGGGTTAAATGTAGTTAACTGAAAATAAAGAGTTACGTATATACATGTGAATATACAGAGGCAAAACAAACACACAGGACATGGAAACAACAGACTGGGGATTTGAAAGTTAAAGAGCATACGAGTAAAAAAACAACAACAGTGTTAAGAAAACTGATACAAGAAAACAACAACAATCAAAATACCACTGAGATCAAACTTGAAGTGAGTAAATCATGAAGTGACTTCCTGTTAAAACACCAGAACAATCTGTATTAGCACTACTAAACTGCATCAGGGGGTGGTTCCTACCTTTCTCACTGACTGATTCACTCTCGATCTCCACATCCTCACAGCTTGTGTATTCAGGCGTAGTGGCCAGCTCTTCCTCTGAGCTGCTTAGAGACACCTGCCTCATCTTCCCTCCCTTTTTGGTTTTGTGGGGCTTGGGGGGTGGGGGTCGCACCGACTCTGACTGGTCTGAGCTAAGTGAGTCATTCCGTAACATACTCTCCATCTTTTCTCTTTTTGTCTTACGGACAGCCGAGCTTGGGTCCAGGTGGTGTTGCTGCCTCCTCATGGTGTCCCCAGCAACACCAAGGTCTCCTCTTCTTAGGTCTCCTGACCGATTACCAAGCACGGGGCTACGATGTGGAGTTGGAGGACTGTGGTTGGAGGTTCTATGGCTTCCAAGACCAGGACCCATGGGCCCCGGGGAGGACCGGTCTACAGAGTAAGAGCGCTGTCCCATCATAGGCGGCCGGCGCTCAGTGAGATGCTGACGGGACAGTCTAATTGGATCTGGGTCATCCTGTTCTGTGTAGGCCAGTGAGACATCGCTGTGGCGACGCTCGTGTCTCAGCCGGCCCACCTCAGCATGCATCCTCATCTGCTCCTCATAGGGCTGAGGCTTGACCGGGTAGCGAGCCAAGTTTGGATCACTGCGGTATCGGGTCTGGAACTCCTCCTGGCGCTGACGCTGGAGGTCAAACTCACTAGGCGGTCCATCTAGCTCTTGATCAAGGGGGTATTCCTGGGAGTGCCAGCGACTTGGTCCCCGATGGTCCCGGTAGCCCGTCCTCATTGAATCCACATCTGGGAATATGTGTGGGCCCCGCGGAGCCCGCCGAGGGTCCCCATCCCCATAGTCAGAAGGTGATCTGGGCATGCTGCCGTCTGAAGGGGCATACTGTGGGTGATCGCCCCCCTCCCTTTGGTCGTATTTTTGGTTTGGATCCCTGGATGCTGATGGACTTCTCTTCCTGTGAATAAACAGAAAACAAAAGACAATTGTTTGTTCCTGTTTTGAACTGACGCCTCCTAAACAATAAATGCTCCGGGTTTTTAATAACTTTTTATTGACAACTGTTTCTGGAGACTTTGTTACTTTGGTATTGTTGGACCTGTCGGCTGCATTCAATACTGTTGATCATGCTCTCCTGATTTCTAGGATGGAACACTTTGTAGGTGTTCATGAGGTTGCACTGCATTGGTTTGTGTTGTACCTGGCTGACAGAACTTTCAGTGTCTCATTGGGGAATTTTACTTCTTCTAATGCTTCATTCTCTTGTGGAGTTCCCCAGGGCTCCATGTTAGACCCATTGTTGTTTTCTCTGTATTTGCTACCTCTTGGTTTGATTTTTAAGAAACATGAGTGTCATTTTCACTGCTATGCAGATAATACCCAGGTATATGTGCCTTTTAAGAGGGGCCACAATCATGCTTTGCGGTCTCTTTTAGATTGTCTCATTGAGGTTAGGCAATGGCTGTTCTCTAACTTACTATACTTACTATAGTAATGCAGGCATTTCCTTATAAGTAAGGTAAACAGCGTTATGACAAAAGAAGTAATTCATTCGATCACTTGATACAGAAAAAAACTAACTTACGTTAGTAACGCAGTTGTTTTAAACACTGTTATTCCCGTCACTGATAATATGTACATGGTATGTAAAAGTTTGGCAACTAAAGGAATAAAAACCAATACAAATATTTTCTGTTATTACATTTTATGCCAATATCGCCCGATAATATCGGTCAGCCGATATTATTGGATATGCCCACTTTTAAGTTGAATTACTGAATTAAATTAACCTTTGCACCATAATCACATATTTCATGTTTCACCTGTTAACTGATTTTGTGTCAAAAAGGTCACACAAACCTGGAAAGCCAATAAACACGAGTCAGAGAGGAAAGCAGGACCAGTGTAGCTAAAAGAAGCACCATTCTGTCTACACATTGTCACCTTGAAGTGACAATGTGTAGTTTTTAACATTAATCTCTGGAAATATCCATCGAAATGTTGTTGTCATTGTCGTCTTCCTCCGCTTATCCGGGTCCGGGTCGCGGGGGCAGCATCCCAACTAGGGTGCTCCAGACTGTCCCGGCCTTCTCCACCATCTCCTCCGGCAGGACCCCAAGGCGTTCCCGGACCAGATTGGAGAAGTAACCTCTCCAATGTGTACTGGGTTGACCCGGGGGCCTCCTGTCGGCAGGACATGCCCGAAACACCTCCCCGGGGAGGCGTCCAGGAGGTATCCTCACCAAATGCCCAAACCACCTCAACTGGCTCCTTTCGATCCGGAGGAGCAGCGGTTCTTCTCCGAGTCCCTCCCAAATATCCGAGCTCCTCACCCTATCTCTAAGGCTGAGCCCGGCCACCCTACGGAGGAAACTCATTTCGGCCGCTTGTATCCGTGCTCTCGTTCTTTCGAACATTACCCATAGCTCATGACCATTGGTGAGGATTGGGACATAGATTGACCGGTAAATTGAGAGCCTGGCTTTCTGGCTCAGCTCCCTCTTCACCACGACAGATCGGCTCAGAGTCCGCATCACTGCAGATGCTGAACCAATCCGCATGTCGATCTCCTGATCCCTGCTACCCTCACTCATGAACAAGACCCCGAGATACTTAAACTCCTCCACTTGAGGTAGGACCTCTCCTCCGACCCGGAGGTGGCAAGCCACCCTTTTCCGGTCGAGAACCATGGTCTCAGATTTGGAGGTGCTGATCCTCATCCCAGCCGCTTCACACTCGGCCGCGAACCTAACCAAAAAGAGATGAAGGTCAGAGCTGGATGAAGCTAGGAGGACCACATCATCCGCAAAAAGCAGAGACGAGACTTTCTTGCCACCAAACTCGACACACTCCACACCACGGCTGCGCCTAGAAATTCTGTCCATAAAGGTAATGAACAGAACCGGTGACAAAGGGCAGCCCTGGTAGAGTCCAACCCTCACCGGGAACAGGTCAGACTTACTACCGGCTATGGGGACCAAACTCACGCTCCTCTGGTAAAGGGACTGAATGGCCCTTAACAGAAAGCCACCCACCCCATACTCCTGAAGCGTCCCCCACAGGGTGCCCCTGGGGACACGGTCATAAGCCTTCTCCAAATCCACAAAACACATGTGGATTGGTTGGGCAAACTCCCATGCCCCCTCCATCACCCTTGCAATGGTATAGAGCTGGTCCACAGTTCCACGGCCAAGACGAAAACCACATTGCTCCTCCTCAATCTGAGATTCAACTATCGATCGGACCTTCCTCTCCAGTACATTGGAGTAGACCTATCCAGGGAGACTGAGGAGTGTGCTCCCCTTATAGTTGGAACACAACCTCAGTTTACCCTTCTTAAAGATGGGGACCACCACCCCGGTCTGCCACTCCACAGGAACTGCCCCCGATAACCACGCAATGTTGCAGAGACGAACCGGATACATGGGCTCATCCAACTGTGGACCCACCACCCGCAGGAGGAACATGAAGGGTCCGGTGTAATGTGGATTGGGTGGCAGACCAAGGCAGGAGCCTTGGCGGTCCGATCCCCAGACAAGAAAACTGGTTTTTGGGACATGGAACATCACCTCGCTGGCGGGGAAGGAGCAGGAGCTTGTGGCAGAGGTTGAGCGGTACCGGCTGGATATAATCGGACTCACCTCGACACATAGCATTGGCTCTGGAACCCAAGTCCTTGAGAGGGGTTGGACACTCTCCTTTGCTGGAGTTGCTCCGGGTGAGAGGCAGAGGGCTGGGGTTGGCTTTTTGTTAGCCCCACGACACTCTGCCTGTGTGTTGGGGTTTACCCCGGGGGATGAGAGGGTAGCTTCCCTACACCTTCAGGTCTGGTAACGGGTCCTGACTGTTGTTTGTGCTTATGGGCCAAATATCAGTTCAGAGTACCCACCCTTTTTGGAGTCCCTGGGACGAGTGCTAGATAGAGCTGCTGACGTCAACTGGGGCTATAGTCGGGCAGTGGAAGGAATACTTTGAGGAGCTCCTCAATCCCACCGATGCGCATTACGAGGAGGAACCAGAGCCGGGGGATCTGGGGATGGACTGTCCAATGTTTGAAATGTTGTTGTAAATGAATTAGAAGATGCCCAGTTGTTGAAAAAATTGCCAATTTTATTACAGATAACCAAAAAAATATGTTCTAAAATACATGGGAGAGAGTCCAAGTCTCTGGGTGACACCATATTGGATGCCATATTTCCTTCTACTGAAGCCAGTGAGGACAAAATGCATTTGCTTAATTGCAACAAACTGTTACTAAACATTCATCATTGATAAACATTGTTTTACACATTTACCTCTTCACTCGTTGCCAGTGATGACAGGGAGTCTGATGTGTTTGTTATTTTGCTGGCGGTTGCACTCCCCAGGATTTTTTACCCTAATGACCATCCGTTGGTAAGGTCTTACTTGAACACAAAAGTAATGCTTGCTTGCAATCATTTTAGTAAGTACTGCCCCCTGTCGCCAGACCAAATACACATTGTCACTTTAAGTGCAGATGACTCAAAACATTCCATAATGAGGATTACTTTAACACGTTCCACATCCCAGAACAGCTTTGTTTTGGATCCAGGAAGGTAAAATTAAACTGTATTAAGACAGGCCATGTCAATGTTTAACTCTTTAAAGACAATAAACAAATAAACAGAATCATTTCGCAGACTGAGACTCAGTAATGTTGAGAATTAACAACTGATTCAAGGATTCACTGATAAATGCTGATAAAAATGATCAGATATGATGATATGGAAGAAAATGTATTTGTTCATCTACATATTTACGTTCCTCTTGTGAAAATATTAAATGATGGTCAAAACTAAATTAAAAACAATTAATCCATCAATTACTTAACCTTTTGTTTGAAATATTGTCTAAAAGTAGCCTGGCCTGCCAGACTCCTCCTCTGTTTAATTCTGCACAGAGAAAGAGTCTGGTAACTCACAGGCAAAGAGGCACATGAGGGGCGGGACTAGGCAGCTCAAAAATAACCAATCAGAAAAAAGACGAAAATGCCGACTGTACCACGCAACGCTGTAGTTTTTTTAGCTGTAGTGAAAAAAAGGCAATGGCGCAAACATCTTTTATTTTTTTAGAAGAAGGGCTTTTATCGCTTCCACTTGTGGTTTTAAAGACATTCAAGTCATTTAGACCAGAGGAAAGAGCCGCAGCGAACTCCGCCGCTGTCTTCATTGTTTATGAGAAACTGAGCATCGCTGTGTGAGACGTCCGTGATGCTGTAGTTTTCAGCTGTGGTCAAAAATGGCATCTGGCGATAGCGCAAACATCTTTCTTTAGAAGAAAGGCTTTTAGCGCTTCTACTTGTTGTTTTAAAGGCATTCAAGTCATTTAGAACAAAGGAAAGAGCCGCAGTGAACTCCACTTCAGTCGCCATGTTTATGACGAACTCGGCGTTATGGTGTGCGACGTACGCTACTCAGCGCTGATTGGCTCGGTTAGAATTCTCACGGGGTGGGGTTATTTGAATAGGAGAGTTCCCAGACTCTTTCTCTGAGAAGAATTAAACAGAGGAGGAGTCTGGCAGGCCAGGCTAGTCTAAAAGTGCTTCCTCCTATAAATAAATAAATAAAAAACATTTGAAGTGTTGGAAATAAGTTGAAAGTTTTTTTTTCTAATCTTAAATTTAGCGGCTTCATTTTGTTAATAAATGTCTATAATTTTATCATTGTTTGGTTGTCAGAAATGGAAATAAAGCCTGGAGGAGGCTAACTGTGCAATAATGCATTTTTCCTTTTGTTCAGAATTAATTATTCATAAAACACTTTTCTCCTGGATTTCTCCCCTTTTTTCCTCCAAAGTTATAATGACAGTTTCATATGGAAAAAGGCTCTCTGAAGCATCTCTTTAATTTTGCACATGACAACTTTCCATAAATTCCAAAGGGCTTTTTTAATCACTGCTGCCAGGCACAGTCACCAGTCAGGGACCTTGTGTGATTGG